ACACACTTTACTCTTTCTCTCTCTCTCTCTCACACACACACACATACATAGAGAGGGAGGAGAGAGAGAGAAAGTTGAGAGAAAGAGAGAGATGGGGGAGAGAGAGAGAGAAAGAGAAAGAGAGAGAAAGAGATGAGAGGGGGGGAGATAGAGAGAAAGACAGAGAGAGAGAGAAAGAGAGAGGAGAGAGAAAGATGAAAGAGAGAGATGACGGAGAGAGAGACAGAAAGAGAGAAAGAGGAGATAGAGAAAAAGAGATGAGAGAGAGAGAGAATCTTCTCTAACATCCCACTTGTTATATAGGCAGATCAAGATGTATGTACTACGTTAAAAGAAACATACATGAAAAATGCACGAAGTCTTCAGGTGGATTTTAATTGCAAAATAAAGGGATCATGGGATGGGAATCAGATGGCTGTGTACATGCAAGCTGCCAAAGAGTCCCACTCACCTTCAAATGCCATTGTTGCTTTACAGCTCCACAGAGGGGCTTTTCCCATGTGCTTTGCACAGTGCCTCTTTTCAGAGGCTTTATGAAGTCCTACCTTACATCAATAACATGCCTTATTTTTGCAGCAACCTGACAACGTTCTCCATTCCTTCTAGGTTGGGAATCGCAGCTTCTGGAAACAGGGTTTTTGGCCGTCTTCCTATGTCCTTTGTGGAGGCTTTCCCGTGTGGCCAGGGACACCCCTCCTTCCCTTATTGTCATCTGGGCCTATCGTTGGCTTGTTTTCAGAATCATGCTTGGAGCGGTAAGTGCACCACGGTAGGAATTGTCTTACGGGAGGCATGAAAACGACGTGCAACGTGGAGAAAAATGTGGATATATTTTATGCACGAAACAGAACAGGAGTCTCCAACCTTGGCAACTTTAAGCCTGGCGGACTTCAACTCCCAGAATTCCCCAGCCAGTCAGGATGAGGCTTGCATTAGAATGCCAGGTTACCTCTGGTAACTGAAAGGGGGATCGACAGGATGCACTCTTTACGTTCACCATCTCTTCGGGACGGTTTAGATCCACTTGGACCATCCAGGAGCAAAGATATCGGCAGCGATCTCAGACCTCCAAGATCGCATGCCGTATCGTCGCGACGCCTGCTCCTCCCTCTCTAAGGCTGAGTCAGTCTTGAGCCAATCAGGATCAAACTTCTGGAGTGAGCAGTGAGTTAACCTGCTATACTGCATTCTAACCACTGCACCACCACAACTCATAGATCCTCTCCGTGGAGTTTTCTCGGCCACAGTTCTGTGTAGAAATGGTTTGCCATTTATGTTTCTGGGATTTTCTTTCATACTATCTCACTCAGCCTAGGATTTCCTTGTGGTCTCCCATCTGAGCCATAATCAATCTCTACCCTTCCTTATTTCTAACCCCAGAGAAGATCATTCAAATGCTTCCCAAAGGTAGTATGCATAGGTAGTATGTAATGTACCTGCTTCCATGAACATATTCTCAGCAAATCTAAGCTGGGGCTGCTTTTTTTTTAAAAAAAAAAGTTAATTATTTAGGGAAGAAAATGTTCCTTTCTAATTGATACAGTAAGATGTCCCAGTCTTGGATTATTTAGCATACTTAAATAAAAATGCAAACAAGTAAAAATAATTAATGTGTGACAACAATGAAGCAGATATTTTTCTCTTCTCTAACAGATTGACGCCAGTAAACTATGGCAATCTGTAAGATCACAGCTCAAAAAAGTTGGTGGAAAATGAGTGGGTCTCAAAGACTTTTCAAAGGTCTATGGTGACAGAGATTGACAGATGTCAGAATGAAATATAATACAAAACAGCATTGTGAGGAGTCATTAGACCTGTTAATCTCCCTTTGTATTCAGTTTGTTCATTGATTGATTTATATTATACTTCTAATCTTCTCCAAAGCCATTCATTACCTCATTGTTTTTCTTTATTTGAACGTTTTAGAAACTTTGAGTGTTTTAAGTGGCCCTAAGACAGTGATATTTCCAATAACATTTTGAAATCAAATTATTTGTTTATTGAATTTGTTTATTTACAGTTAATATCAATAAAGTTGTCAATACATTTAAAACTATTTATTTATTAAAAATTTATAACATCCTACACCCAGCAACTCTGGGTGGTTAAAACTAAATGAAATTCCATTAAAAAATTGGAGATTCATAGGTTGGAAGCCAATTTTCATAGCCAGGTAAATCCCAAAGCAAATCGTTATTGCCACTGTAAGGCCATCCATCAAAACAAGAGAACACAATAGGTAAAAATGGAACTATTTAAACAGGAGGAAAACTAAGATGGGCTTTTTGGACCTAAGGAAGGACGCTGAGCAGAGCCCAATTGGGCCACCTGGAAAGATACTTATGGGGAGACAGCGTGGGCAGTGGGGCAGGTTCCAGACTATTGGCTGGGGGAACCAGGTCTAAGAAGCGAAGGATGAAAACTAATAAAGGAGAGATCCAATCTTGAATTAAGGAGAAATTTCCTGACAGTGAGAACAATTAACCAGTGGAAGGACTTCCCCCCAGAAATTGTGGGGGCTCCATCACTGGAGGCTTTCAAAAAGAGACTGGACAGCCACTTGTATGATATGATAGAGGGCAGTGATGGCTAACTTTTTCGGCACCGAATGCCCAAAACACATGCATGTACGCACATCCCCAAAATGCAATGTGCGCGCCTCCACCATTCATGCACAGTGCCCCCCTCCCTGCATGCATGGCAAAGACCCAAAGACCAGCTGGCTAACAGGAGGCACGCACACACGCGCAATGGAGCTGAGCTGAGGGCTCTGCATGCCACGCGTGCCACAGGTTCACCATCCTGGATGTAGGGTTGCCTGCCTGAGCAGGAAATCATAAGATGTCAATAGGTGTTGTGGTTCACCAGCAGCAGCTGCAGGGCGGCTGAGGTGTCGGGAGAGCGAGGACTCAGACGAGGGGCCTGCGTGTGATGCAGGGATGGGACCAGGTCCATCAGGGAGTGGAGTGCTGCCTTCGGAGATTGTGGAGGCTGGCAGCAGCGATGCAGAGGTCCCCGAGGAGCCTGTGCTCAGTGCGCGTGCACGCAGGGATGCTCAAAGGAAAGAGCAGCTGCAGCAGCATGGGTGACTCGGGAGTAAGGCTGCAAGGTCATGGCCCCTCCCTGAGGAGATAAAAGCCAGCCGAGAAACCGGAGTTCTTTGCAGAAGGCAAAGAAGTTTGATACTTGAGCCTGGTGGACGTTAGAATATCCGAGTTGGTGTTTGGAGGCTTTTTGATTTATTGTTTGGGATCTTTATCTGTTGTTCTTGGCAGCCTTGCCAAAACTTGGCAAGGCTCTTTCTTGTCGGAGCCAATTAGTTGAAAGCAGCTTTTTTTATCTGTGAAGAAGCAGAATTCGTAAATGAAACAGTAAAAGGTTGTGCTGTTACCTGTGTCTTGTGTTTACTCTCTTGGAACCAGGTTTGGGTCAGAACAAAAGGAGAAAGTAGTTAAGAAAAATGAGAAGGATAATACCATAGCGAAGAGTTGATTTAAAGCGGGTGACAGAAGAGCCTTTAAGGGCATTGTGTAGGTGGAGGTTTTGAACGTACATCAGTCCTCTGGTAAGATCCATCCTATCCAGAGGTGAGCCACTGAAATGGTTGCATCGCGACAAGGAAAATGCCATGTAACTGTCCTCAGCTGCGGAAAGTGAGGTTTGCAAATGCTGTTTGCCTGATTTGAATCCAAGGCAAAGTGGCTGCTTTGTAGGCAGCAAAGCGCTCCATTGTTCCTGGGGGGGGAGGGCAGCTGGGGTGAGGCTGGACAGCTTGGCCTGGGGGGAGATTAGGAAACATTAACTAAGGTAGGGGGGGGGGGGGGGGGGGGGGCGAGTTCTAGACCTGCCTTAGACCCGAAGCCTAAGGGACGGGGTGGGCGGGCTTTGGACCAGTTGCTCTGTGTCTCTCAGCCCAACCCACCTCACAGGGTTGTTGCTAAGGGGAAAATAAGAGTCAGAAATATTAGGAGTATTAGGATTAGGCTGCCTTGAGTGTATGTGTGTGTGTGGGTGTATGTGAGGGAGAAGGTGGAATATAATGATAATTTATTACGATTTATAATAATAATAAACAAGAACCTGTCACATAACACCTCAGGCTTGACAAGTGCCAATAAGAAAGACAAGAAAGTGTGAATAGTGGATATGGCAATGCCTGGAGTCAGGGGAGAGGGAGGGAAGAGAGAGGAGAGGAGAGGAAAGGAGATGAGAAGAGAAGAGAAGAGAAGAGAAGAGAAGAGAAGAGAAGAGAAGAGAAGAGAAGAGAAGAGAAGAGAAGAGAAGAGAGCTACTGATTAAACTATTACCAAAAAATTTATCACAAACTCGGGGAGGACAGAGGTAAATTTTGATGAAAGCCTGGCTGAAGGTATGATTATTCATTAGCCAGATCTGCTTCAAACTTTGAGGTGGGCAGCAAATAGAAGAGATAGAACTAGAGAAAATGACACAAGGCGAAGACCTGCAAATAGAAGTAGAACAACTGTGGCAAAAGAAGGCAAAGGTAGTACCAATAGCCATAGGTGCCTTGGGTGCAATCTCAAAACAACTGGAGCACCAGGGGTGGGATTGAGTTTTTTAAACAACCAGTTCTGTGGGCGTGGCTTGGATGGTGGCCGTGGCTTGGTGGTCATGTGACTGGTTGGACATGGCTTGGTGGTCATGTTATTAACTGGGCGTGGCCAACTCAACATCACTCACATTGAGGCACGCATCTCCTTGCCTGGCCTCTCATGACTGTGGGGATGCTGCAACAGTCGTAAGTGTGAAAAAGGGTCATAAATCATTTTTTTCAGTGCCACTGTAACTTTGAATGGTCATTCCACACAAGCAAAGTACCAGCAAAGGAAGGGAAAAACTCCACAGAAGTTCCAGAGACAGGAAGTCTAGTCCTGCCAAGAATGTAATAAGGGTTAATGGAGAGGCAGTTTCTGTAAGCAACCCCAGAATGTTTCCTTCCTGCCTTCCTTACAGGATTAGGCCAGTAATTTCTTCTAACAACTGGTTCTCCAAACTGTTTAGAATGTTAACAACTGGTTCTAGCAAAGAGGTGCAAACCTGTAGAATCCCACCCCTGTGGAGCACCACTTGAACACCGTCGGCATTGACAAATTCACCATCGGTCAATTGCAAAAGGCAGCTTGACTTGGCACAGCTTACATCCTTCTGCAATCCCTTTGAAATTATTAATATGGTATTCTAAACATCTGGCTGGTTGTATGAGCAACCACAATAATAATAAAAATGCAAAAGAGCAATTGGAAGGCCACATTCCTGTAGCTGAGAATTTTGCATGGCTTCTTGTCTAAAACAAAGGAGTCCCTGACTTTTTGTTATTCAAGGCACAATAAATTGAATGAAGCCTGGCTCCTGGTGACCTCATGGGCACATCTGTGCAGTCTTCTTGGCAGCAGCCAGAAGTGAGAAGCACCATGTTTCCTGTGATGACCCAAAGGGGCGTGGCACAAAAGCAGCAAAGTCACAAAAGTAGGTAATGTCCCTTTAATTCCTCCAACTTGGCCCCCAATGTCCAGTTATCATTGGCTGGAGAAAAAACTCTCCCAAGAACAGTTTTTAAAGGGAAGAAATTCCGTATGAACCCAAAGTACATCTAAATTATAAATAAAAACCAACACAAAACCACGCTGCAGCAATTAACGAGACAGGGCAGGATAAGGGATTGCAGACTTCCAAAAGATAATGAAACACACATTGTTGAGAGGACGCCAGAATCCAGATAAGACTTGACAAACAAAGATAATTCACGCTTTGCTTCCAGCAAGGTGCTGTGTGCAAATGCCCTTTTTAAATCCTGTTTTCCCAGCTGCAGCTAATGAAGGGAATCAGGGCTTTTTCCTCCCCTGTAACCCATGCAACCGACATTGGTCCTTTCTCTGTTCCTCCCTGTGTGCCCTAGGATGAAGAGCGGGTGGGCCTGGGTATTTTTCTGAATGCCCAGCTGGACTGGGCCTTTCCCCAGTTTCTTCCACAGCCACTGGAGCCACACTCCCACTCCCTGTCAGCTGCTCGACCTCCCCCTCGGAATCAGATTCCAACAGGGGCATGATAATTCCTCCCAATTTCCCAATTTGGCCAAGAGCTGGATTATTTTCCCATTTTGGCCTCCGTTCAAGTATTAACCAGATCTCTTCTGATTTGGCTTCTGAACCTGGCCAGATTGTCACAAGTTTCCCCCCATACAGTCCTCAATTTACAGCAGTTTATTTAGTTGCCATTCAAAGTTACAACGGAATTGGAAAAAAAGTGACTGATGACCATTATTCACGCTTATGACCGTGGTAGAATCCCGAGGATGACGGGATCAAAATTCAAAGCTCGTTTAACCAATGTTTCACTTAACCACAGAAACGTTGGATTCAACTGTGGTCGTAAGGCGAGGATACCTGTAAAATAACCCCATGGATTTTTCTGGCAGGGATTTCAAGTGATGCTTTCCATTCCTTACTCCCCCTCCTTTCGGGGAGAGTTTTTCCAGCACTGAAAAAAAAGTGACTTATGACTCTGTTTCACGCTTACTAAAATTCAGGTGCTTGGGCAAGTGGTTCACATTTATGACGGTTGCACTTTCCCAGGGTCATGTGATCGATCCCCCTTTTCAACCTTCTGACAAGTAAAGTCAGAAGTTGTGGGAGCTTCATCACTGGAGGCTTTCAAGAAGAGATTGGACTGCCCTCTGTTAGAAACGGTGTAGGGTCTCGCAAAGTCAATGGAGGAAGCCAGATTCACCTAGCTGTGTTGCTAACTTACCAGCTTCGGGGATTCACTTAACTCTTAATAGATACTTTTGTTTGAAAAACTCATGTACTTAATTGTTAATATAATACAGTATATAATTTAATGTAGTAATATATTGTTAATATATAATATATTATAATTAATTGTAATTGATTAATATAATTAATATATAATTTAATACATTAATATGTAATTGATATATAATGTACTATATTAAATACATCCTAAAGCAGTGTTTCTCCACCAGGGCAGCTTGAAGATGGGTGGACTTCAACTCCCAGAATTTCCCAGTCAGAATCTTCAAGCCGCCAAAGCTGAGAAACACTGTCATAAAACAGAATATATTAAATGTCTATTAATCTCTACATTAATGTATAATTTTGTTCAAAATTTCCTCAGAATGGAAGTGCAAGTAGTAATCTCGGAGCTGTCATTTTTTTTCCCTCCCACAGGGGATGATTAAAATACGAGGGGATCGTTGCTGGAAGGATTTGACCTGCATGAATTATCATTACGAGGTGAGCTTTCCAAGTTCCAAATTCCTTTGCTCCTTCTTTAAAGGGCCTGTTGAAGTGCTTCTTCCTTCTGTATATTTTTCAACTGGTTGCAATGGATGCCTTCATTCTGGAACTTTCCAAACTCCTGTTGAAAAAAGGAAACAACCCATAAACAACCGCCCTGCAAGGTAGGTTGGGCTGAGAGAGCGGGACTGGTCATAACTCGAGGCCTACTTGTTCTGCGCGAACCAGAAAAAAGGACTGAGAAAATATCTGCAGACCCGTCACAACTTCACAACTTACTATCTTAACAACTGCATGATTCACTTAGCAACTATGGATGGAAGGTCGTAAAATGGGACAAAGCTCACTTAACAAAGTCTCCCTTAATCACAGAAACGTTGGGATCAATTGTGGTACCTGCATTTACTTATTCATTTTGGAAGAGAATCTGCAGCTATGAATTGGAAGCCAATCAGAAAGATAGGTAGAAGATAGAATACTTTATTGACCAAGTGTGATTGGACACACAAGGAATTTGTCTTGGTGTAAATACTCTCAGTATGCATACAATAAGCTTACGCTATGCACTCATGACAACTAAGATGTGGGGGGGGGTGGAGTTTCAGGATTTACAACAGGGTGCAAAAATTGAGGCTTCAAACCCCCTCTCTCCCAGCGGTTACTGAATTTTAGCTTTCCACGCAAAAGAAGGAAATTATTGAATATATTGTGAGTAATCTTTTTGACAGTGTGCAATTAATTACATTTCAGTTGGTGTTTTTTTTCCCCTCAGCTCTGCCCACTCAAGAGTTCAGTCACACTCAAGTTCAGTCATCTCTTCCCGATCGTTGCTTTCTTTTGGTTTATATTGTTTGACCGTTCATGGTTTGGAAAGAGGATTAAGACTATTCCCCAGCGGTCGGGACAAATCCCTTATAAATCCTGTAATACCAAGGCTGGTGTTGCCCCATAATAGTTGTGTCTTTTTTTTCCCATCGGTTCAAGACAAAGCACTCAAGTCACTAACAGAAGCTCAGTTCAACCCAGGGGTGGGCTGCTGGTGGCTCGCAGGGGTGTGGGAGAACCCCTAGCAAAGATTCTGTGCAGTTTGGAGAACCTCCCAAATCCCACTCCTCGGTAGCAACGACTGGAGTTTGTGATAACCTGGAGGAAGACCAGTGCCTCGGAGTTGTTCAGTTGAGTTAACTTCAGATCCGCTCAGTTGAAGGAACTTCAGGTCTGGGTCAGAGATCCTTAGTGGATCTCAGCTCCCAAGTTATTTGGAAGAAGTGAGGGCTATTTAACTTGGTCTTGCTTGGGCGGAAAGGGAAGGACAGGTGAGAAGAAAAGGAGCCACAGGTGTTGTGGTTATTTATCTTGGTTGATTAAGTATCATCAATTCAATGTTGACTCTTAGTGACTACATAGATAGTTCTTCACCAGGATGACACACAAACACACACACACACACAGACACAGACACGAACACGCATAGACACCCTGCCCCTGAAACATAGTGCATCAGGTGTTCTGATGGTGCTATTATCCAGTCTTTTTTCTCCTGGTTATTCTCCTCCCTTTCCTTCTACCTTTTCCATAAGTTATGGGCTTCACATAGGAATTGGCTCTTTCCATAATATGTCCAAAATATGATAGTTTGAGCCTGATACTTTTAAGTAACTACTCTGGACTGATTTTTTGGTTGTCCATCATGTTCTCCAGACTTTTCTTCAACCCCAGAGTTCAAAAGCATGTTTCTGCCTTGAATTCCCAATTTTCTGAAGTTTATCATGTGTTGGTTCACTTGGATATTCTTCTACATCAGTCTTTACATCGCAGGGATTCTCATGGCAACTCTTTAATGAAACTTGGCAACCATCATTGGGAAATTTATTTACTTTTTTTTTTTTTTTGAAAAGCAGATGAATATCTCTTAATTAATGTTGTAACAAGAGGCTGAGCCAAGGGGATGAATCGGGTAAGAGGGTGAAGGAAGGCTGGCAAGCTGGTGAGTGACAGATCCGTCAAGAAAATTGGGGTTGTCAAAATCTTCTTTTATCCTGCTGATGGGCTGGAGGATGAAACAGGAGCTGTGGGTGGTAGAAAATCTGTTTGATTCTTGTGGGAGAAAGATGAAAAGCGAACCAGCATTTAAACTTTTCAAGGGTTGTAAGAAAGAATGACTTCAGCTGGATAGAACATTTGGAGAGGGTTTTTGGAGGATCTGCAAGGTCCAGTTTTCCATAATGGGACAAGGCTGCAATCCTGGGAATGGGACAACTCGCTGCAGCCAACTTAGCCATGGCCAACTAGCTGCGGGAGAACTCACCAGGGCCAACTCACTCACATGACCTGAGATTGTCATGCCCCTGTCGGAATCTGACTCGAGGACGAAGCCAAACAGCTGACAGGGAGTGGGAGTGTGGCTCTGTTGGCTGTGGAGGAAACTGGGGAAGGGCAAAGGCTGGCTGGGCAGAGCAGGGGACAGGTAGAACAAGGGAGAGGGAGTTCAGAGGAAGACCCAGGCCCGCCCCCACTTCATCCTAGGGTATGCAAGGAGGAATGGAGAAGAGAGCAGAACGGGTTGCTTGGCTTACGGAGGAGGAAAGGGTCCTGATTCCCTTCATTAGCTGCAGCTGGGAACACAGTGTGTTAAAAAAAAAAAAAGGCAAGCTGCGTGCAGCAGGCTGTTGGGAGCAAACGTGACTTTATCTTGTATTGTTGTGGCTTATCTGCGTTCCTGGCGTCTTCCCAACCGTGTGAGTTTTGCCGTGCTTTCAAGTCTGAAATTCTTGCTCCTGCCCTGCCAAACTAATTACTTCAGTTTGGCTTGTTTGGACTTTTAAGTTAAAGTTTGTGTGTACCTTGTTTTGGACTGAATTTTCTGCAGTCAAAGGCTGTTCCTGGCAGAGTTTTCTCCAACCTGGACATTGGGGGCAAAGTTGGAGGTAATAAAGGGACTCTTATTGCTTATCTGACTGTGTTGCCTTTGTGCCACGCCTCGGGTCATCACAGGGACACTGCGACCATCATAAAGATGTCTCAGTTGTCAAGCATCTGAATTTTGATCATAAGTCCACTGGGATTCTGCAGTGGTCGTTGGTATGAAAAATGGCCATAAGTCACTTTTTTTCAGTGCCATTGTAACTTTGAATGGTCACGAAGTCTTAACCTGTGCTGTCTCATTTTTGAGGATTACACTGCAATTTTCATGCCTTGCCAGCCTCAGGGCGATGGAAAACCATGCCATCCGTTTTCAGCGTATTCACACTAACCAAATCTGAAATTCTTGGTGGCTCACTTGTGGTTGAGTTTTCCGTGCCTGCAGTAAGTTAGCTGTGGCTTCTGCGTTCGGATTGTGTTGCAACCCTGAAAGAAAACAAGGATTCATCATTTGCCACGGGGTTTTTTTTCAGCAAAGGATCCAAAGCTTTTTATGGCAAAACTAAAATCGATCTTTCTTTCTTTTTTTCCCTTCACCTTTGAAGCATAAGATTTGCCTTACGGGTAGTCCTCGACGTACAATAGTTCATTTAATCAAAGTTACATCCCTGAAAAAAAGTGATTTACAACCATAACAGATATAACAGATAATCAGAGTTGGAAGAGACCTTATAGGTCATCTAGTCCAACCCCCTGCCCAAGCAGGAGAGCCTACAACATTTCTGGCAAATGACAGTCCAGTCTCTTCTTGAAGGTCTCAAGTGATGGTGCTCCCACAACTTCCGAGGGCAACTTCTGTTCCATGGGTGAATTGTTCTCCCTGTCAGAAAGTTTCTCCTTATTTCCAGATTGAATCTCTCCTTGTTCAGTTTCCATCCATTATCCCTTGTCTGGCTTACAGGTGCTTTAGAAATTAGCTTGACCCCTTCCTCCTCTCTGTGGCAGCCCCTTAAATATTGGAAGACTGCTATCCTGTCTCCTCTGGTCCTTCTCTTCACTTGACTTATCCAGGCCCAGTTCCTGTAACCATTCTGCATATGTTTCAGTCTCCAGTCCCCTAATCATCCTGGTTGCTCTTCTCTATACTTTTTCTAGAGTCTCAACGTCTTTTTTATAATGCAGTGACCAAAACTGGATGCAGTACTCTAGGTCTGGTCTTACTAAGGCTTTATAGAGTGGTATTAGTACTTCCCTTGATCTTGACTGTATCCCTCTGTTAATACAACTTAGGATTGCATTGGCTTTTTTGGCTGCTGCTGCACACGGCTGGCTCCTATTTAGCTGGTTGTCCACTAAGACTCCAAGATCCCTCTCACAGTTACTGCTATTGAGCCTGGTTTCACCCCAGTCTATATGTGTCCTTTTGGTTTTTCTTGCCTAAGTGTAGGACTTTACTTTTCTCTACACTGATTTTCATTTTGTTAGATACATACATTTTTCACACTTATGGCAATTGCAGCATAACCTGAAGTCATGTGAACAAAATCCGAACGGTGGGCCACTGATTCATATTTATGACAGTTGCAATGTCCCGAGGTCAGTTTTGCAACCTTCTGACCAGCCAAGTCAATCGTGGAAAGCCAGATTCACTTAACAACCAGGTTACTAAGTTAACAACAGCAGTGATTCACTGAACAACTGAGGTAAAAGAAAGGTTATAAAATGGGGCAAAGCTCAGTTAACAACAGACATTTTGGGCTCCATTGTGGTCGTAAGTCGAGAACTACCTGTATTAGCAGGGCTTACCAAATATAGTGTGTGTCTGAAAATGACTGCACCTCTTTTTGTCCCCCCAGTTTTGGACGTGCTCCTCTCCACCTTTAGGTTGCAACCAGCGTGTGTAGACTGGCATGTGCAACTTTCTCATAAAATCAGTGAAAGCCGTAGAATTAAACATTCTTTGCACTCTTTTAAACGACGTTATGCATGCCAAATCCAGTTTTTAATCCAGGAATACAAATTCTTTTCCAGTCTTGCTATTTTTAAAAGTCCTCCGTGCTGGGGAATTGCACAAAAGAGCCTTTGTCTTTTTTCTTTTCTTTTTTTTTAAGTTTATTAATCTAATTTATAGGTTT